TCACAAGGCAGTACGTAAGTGAAAAAATTCCACATGTGAGATTGTCTTGTATACATTTTTGCTTTCTTTGATAAACATTATTAAACACGCAAATTTTAATTAGTGAGACGCAATGTTAAATGTCACCTGCATGTCATTGTCATTGCCCTTTAACCCCTGGTCTAATTGGCCGCTTTTGAAAATGTTGATCATGACGAACTGCACCGCCAATTATGCAAACTTTGTGTTTTAAAAACGGGTTAGGATAAAACGCGGATACGGACGGACGGATGAATGAATGACGGACGGACGGACGGATGGCGACGGACGGACCGGACGGATGACATATATATGTCATTATATAGTCTGCGCGCAGCCGCGCAGGGTAGTTAGTGGCTTACGTCTTCGCTGGTTGTTATACTTTAAAATAATTTTGTATATACCGATAAATCAATATTCCGAGTATATAAATATATAAACTGGGATGTCACACTGATAGCTTGTTTACATTTCCTGGAGCATCATGAAATCTTATGTTTAACCACGGTGGTTTAACCCATTAGCTGGCAATGCGCCCTTCCCTTGTCGAACGCCAGAAGATTTTACTCGTCAGTGGTATAGGGTACTGGCAGTAAATGGGTTAACAAACCTATCTGCCAATGGCTCTTGTTAATTCATCAACACAGTAATGGCCCCTACTTTAGTGTTTACCCTGTCCAACGCCAGACGATTTTTAATACTCAGTCAGTGGTAGGGTACTGTCAATAAATGGGTTAACAAGGATAACAATAATAGGATGTTTCTGAAGGACTCGTTCAACACCCTGTAGTTTGTCTTTTGCTGTCAAAGGCAGCATTACTGCCCTGTGGGTAACCTAGTTTTGTTTTGTGGGTCGAAATCAAAATTTTCTATTTGGCGCATTGCATGACGGTACCAGTGAATTTTAACCGTGGTGCAGCGCGGTCAGGCATAAGGCAAACAGGCAATGTGATCATGTTTCATCTTTGGTCTTCTTTTATGGAAAGCCATAGCTGGCTTAAAGTGATCAAACGGCATTTTGTTGGGTGCTTTTAGCATTATACGGCGGTGCTTTTGGCATTATACACGGTGCTTTTGCCATTATACGCGGTGGTTCCAGTATTATACGCGGTGCTTTCACCATTTATATACGTGATGCTTTTGCAATTATACGCAGTGGTTCGAGCACTATATGCGGTGCTTTTAATATTATACGCGATACTAGCTTTCATTCAACATTATTTCCATATTCTTTCCATGACATGTATATGATTTAACGATTGCTTAAATTTGGTATGTGCATGGTTGACAAATGCTTTTTGCCTATGGTCTGCAAGGACAATGACATGCTTTTCTGTGTATATACATGTAAATGAATTTAACGCAGCGAATGCGCCAAACAGTAAAACGCGGCTGAAATACGATATTAAAATCTTAAATGTGCCGTATGATTTAATTATGTTTTAGGATTTACAAATGCTTTGTCATTTGTATTTATACTTGTACTGCATCACAAGGCAGTACGTACTGTAAGTGAAAAACTCCACATGTGAGATTGTCTTGTATATATTTTTGCTTTCTTTGATAAACACTATTAAACACGCAAATTTTAATTAGTGAGACGCAATGTTAAATGTCATGTCATTGTCCTTTAACCCCTGGTCTAATTGGCCGCTTTTGAAAATATTGATCATGACGAACCGCAGTGGCCTTAATTAAATGCAAACTTTGTGTTTTAAAAACGGGTTAGGATAAAACGCGGATACGGACGGACGGATGAATGACGGACGGACCGGACGGATGACATATATATGTCATTATATAGTCTGCGCGCAGCTGCGCAGGGTAGTTAGTGCCTTACGTCTTCGCTGGTTGTTATACTTTAAAATAATTTTGTATGTACCGAGAAATCAATATTCCGAGTATATAAATATATAAACTCGGATGTCACACTGATAGCTTGTTTACATTTCCTGGAGCATCATGAAATCTTATGTTTAACCACGGTGGTTTAACCCATTAGCTGGCAATGCGCCCTTCCCTTGTCGAGCGCCAGAAGATTTTACTCGTCAGTGGTATAGGGTACTTTCAGTAAATGGGTTAACAAACCTATCTGCCAATGGCTCTTGTTAATTCATCAGCACAATAATGACCCCTACTTTAGTATTTACCCTGTCCAACGCCAGACGATTTTTAATACTCAGTCAGTGGTAGGGTACTGTCAATAAATGGGTTAACAAGGATAACAATAATTAGCCTGCATGGCAGGCGGTATTTTCCAGCTTGCCCAATTTTAGGAACCGCCTGCCATGCAGGCTAAACAATAATAGGATGTTTCTGAAGGACTCGTTCAACACCCTGTAGTTTGTCTTTTGCTGTCAAAGGCAGCATTACTGCCCTGTGGGTAACCTAGTTTTACACATAAATGTGTTTGCCAGGTTTAAAAATTTGTTGTCAGTTCATAATATCGCAACAATAATATCATAATTTAACTGTCGTTATTTGATATGATTTTCAGCAATATCATGTCTTTAATTTCACGGTTACAAAATATGATCAAACCTTGATATATTTGATTAAGCGATCGATTCTTCATTATATAAAATCATTCTCCCACTTTTAGTTTCTGTATTTTCAAATTAGAAATTATTCAAATATTTTTATGGAAGCGATCTTTGTCGATTTGATCTTTCGATCATTTTCTGGGAACTAATTTCCATATTTTGAAACTAGAAAGGTATAACCAGTTGCAAGCCAGTATCACAGTCTTAATATGAGGTGATGATCGCCGTACATTTTGACCACCCATCGCGGTACATTAAATATTCTGTCTTGTATAAACTAATACACCAGTCTGCAAAAGACGCTTGAAATACTTTTACAGAAGTGATGATAATAAATTAATGATAATAATATTTATTCAGGAAACTAACATCACAAGAAGTGTTTTTCGGATGGTTCCTGCAAAAAATTAAAATACAAAGTTTGCAATGGTATATATAGTGTGCGTGCAGTATTTACATATTGGTATATGGATATATATGATATACCAGAAAAATTATGAGACTATAGGATACATGATGCTATACATATTTACAAGGATACAAAGAGTTAGTAAGTTATATTTTAAATAGTTATGAGTATTATAAAGATAGAGATTTGAGATGTTCATTCCTAAAGGTTCCGAACTGTTCACAATTAAGACATAATTTTGTGAATGATTTGAAGGAAATTGTAATACAGACTTTATCCACATCGATCTACTAACATTTGCGCAATTTTTTTACATTATCAAGATTGATTTTTTGTGGTATAAAGATAATTTTTTGTGAACTTATTCCAATATTTTGCGACACGAATTCTTGTTTACATAATGTTACCAATCGCAAGCCAGTATGAGGTGATGACCTTAGGTCACAAGACATTAAATATTCTATTTCATGCCTGCAAATTCCTGTCTGGTAAAGACGCTTTAATTAAACACTTTATGCGGAAGCGATATTTATCTGCTGCTTTAAACAGATCATTCTGTTAAAGATTTCAAGCAAATACTAACACAGACTTTCTCGAAGAACGAACACTGTATCTATATTCAGTCTATATCGTGAGATTTATACTACAGAGCGACTAACATCAACACAGAACTTGCTTTGTGATTACGACACAAAAGCGTCGTGAAATATATGGCGTCTTCTATACAAGGCTATGACGAGGAAAGGTTTGCGAGCACAGTCAATCGAAATTTCCTGTGTTTGATTTGCTTCAATGTCCTTAAAGACCCGGTTCTGTGTCCGAGAAACCAACATTGTTTCTGTCGTGGTTGTATTACGAAACATCTCGAGAATTCACGAAGATGCCCTACGTGTGCGGAAGAACTGACCGTAGAGACTCTAGCTGAACCCAACAGAATGGTGAAAGATTATTTAAATGAATTGAAGATTCATTGCGTTTACAACAACAGAGGTTGTCACGAGATCCTACAACTGCAACATCTTGATAACCATGAGGCTACATGTGGATTTACGCCAACCGTTTGTACAAACCAAGGCTGTGGTGCAACTTTAAACCAGCGTGATCTTATTCATCATCAAAGTGAACTATGTGAATTTCGCAAGTTGAAGTGCCACTCGTGCGGAGAAATGGAGAAAAGAATGGCGAATCTCGAGCAGAATATGGAGAGAAATGCGGCAGATATGGAAGGAAAACTCGAAGCAGTAAATAATGAAGTGAGAGGATTGAAAACAGCTTTGATTGAAGGTTTTGATGAAATGAAGGATGTTCTTGTCAAGATGGAGGACAAGACAGAAGAAAACACAAGAAAGGTAAGAAATACAGCAAGTGGTGATAAGGAAAATATAATTGTTGCCGGAGGTACCTGGAATGACTCTGTAGAGATGTTTAACTGGCGTCAAAGAACATGGTCGCCATTACGATCCTTGCCAAAGAAACGTTTTGGAGCGTCCTCATTTGTGTACAACAATCATGTGACAATTGCAGGAGGTTGCTGTTCTAGCTATGTCGATGATATGATTAGAATGAATATCAACCCAAATCCTGATCTCTCAATGCACTGGAGTGAGTGTCCTGTTAAACTACCTGCTAAGTTGGTATCCCACAGCAGTGTGCTGTATAAGGATCACTTGATAGTCACAGGTGGTAAGAATAGAAATGCAGTATCTGACTGTATTCATGAAGTCCAGCTGGTTCCTCCGTATACTGCGAAGATCTTATCAAGAATGCCAGAACGAAGACAGCATCACAGTACGCAATTATTTGATGATAACTTGTTGATCGTTGGTGGAAGAACAACCGACAGACACCAAGACAGCCTCAGCAGTGTCGTACTGTATGATATGAAGAAGAATGAATGTAAACAGTTGGCACCACTGCCGTATGAAGTGAATGAGATGGCAACTGTGAGATGGGGAGACAACATCGTCGTTATAGGCGGCATTGACAAACGTGGCGAAGCATTAGATACAGTTATCATTTACAATGTCAAGACTGAACAAAGTCACTTGCTGCCGTCAATGAGATGTGAGAGGTACGGATGTGCTGCAGTTGTTATTGGAAGCAACATAATAGTACTGGGAGGACATAATGGGCAAGGAACGAAGTCAGTTGAAACTTTCAACTTTGAAAGTTATACTTGGCAAGAACTTCCAGAAATGTCTCAAGGAAGACTGTTTCCCACTGCTGTTGTTGTGTGAACAATGTAAGAATGTTGAACAGATAATAAGTGGACTTCATATTGTGAACAACTAAAGTGGAAATGTAGTAATGCCTTATGATAGTTTGGTATATGTAATCAAAATTATATTCAGTTTTTTAACCATGCATATGGTAATATTGAATTAATATTTTTGAGTGAAAAGTATACCCTAGTCAAACAAGAATGAGAGTTGATGAAAGTTGCAACTCTCGCTCGCGTTTGAACGCCAACTCTCGTCGTATTAAGGCCTGATTCCACGGGCGCTTTTTCTCGGCGAAATGCGAACTATTTCGCCTGTTTCTTTTGAATTGTGAGCATTCAAATAGAAATAATTTATTCGAGTGGTCGCAATTAAAACGAAATAATTCGCATTTCGCCGAGAAAAAGTGCTCGTGGAATCAGGCCTTTACAGACTATATGTATACTGTATTCACGCATTTAAGATCTATAGAGCGCCTTCGATTAAGACCGCATGCATGTGAGATGAGAAATTCACTTTGCGATGTCATTAAGCGCCGCATAACTATATCTATTGAATATATTTGATTAAGCGATCGATATTTGATTATGAAATCATTTCCTCACTTCTATAGTTTCCGTATTTACAAATGAGAAATTATTCAAATATTTTTTATGGAAGCGATCTTTGTCTGTTGCTCCAAACGAAAGATTTAAAGCGAATTGTGACGCAGATCAGATTTATCCAGATCGATCATATAATGTTGTGCTCAGTCTATATACATTATTAGGATTGACTTTCTCTTGGTATTAGACTTGCCCCAAGTCTCTCTCCGTGGGTTTTGATAGGGTATATCCAGTTTATTATGAGATCAGTTTTGAACTTGAAACGGAGAACGAGAGAGACTTGTAAAACTCTAGCCTCCTCCGCAGGCCTCTCTATGGGTTCTAGCCTGCGAATGGGTTTGAAAAAAAATTTTCTGGGAGAGAGGCCTGCCATAAATCGAACAAAATGGACGTGTCAATGTACCTTGTGGCCGTGTCAATGTACCCCACCCCCTAAGTAGGCGTTTGACCCTAATTATATATTCAGTTTGAAATCTTCAGGCGAGGAGCGAAGCTTGCGAGTATGGAACGCCATGTGTCCAAAAATTATTTAACGTTAATTATATCATATCATGACTAAAATTGTCATTATATATAAATAATTGATAAACGAACAGACATTATATCAAATCATGACTTATTCGTTTTTGTCATTATTTGATATAATGTTATTAACATTAAGCATTATATCATATCATGAACTTCCGAAAAGTCATGATATGATATCAAGACATTTCGACAAAATCATTATATCATATCATGACTTTTCGACAAAATCATTATATGATATCATAAGCATTTGTGTAAGTCCTGATTTGATATAATGCTAATGCGTTACACTATGATATCAAATAATGACTTTTCAGTTGATTCATGATATGATATCATGTAAAAGAACTTTTTCATTATATCATATAATGAAACAGCGCCGAAAAGTCATTATTTGATATAATGCAAAGCGTAGTGCGCCATCTGTCCAAAAATTAAAACTGTCCAGAAATCAATTAACCTTATAATAACTCAAACTTCCGGTAACTTAAAACCTCCGGTTCATGAGCCGAAGGCTACAAACAAATCTCTTCGATTACGATCGATCTGGCTCCACCTTGCGCTTTCAATTCAACAGCTAAGAATTCTGCTTGCATTCGATTTTTTTTTTAATTTAAAAAGGCTGAATTTATGGCGAGTGGCGACTGCGTCTACACCAAACCAATTCTCGCCGCCGGCATAGAGCGCGACCAGCACAAGTTCAAGTTCAAACGTTATAAACCAGGTTTGTATGACCTACATAGTGTTTCATATAAGTACTGAGGCATTAAGCTTTATCTTTATGAATATTTATCAATATCTTATTTTACATAAAGGCCGCAGAAAAGTATACTCAGAATCACTGGAAAAAATTTTGAAAATCCATATAGAAGGTCATAGAATGGAAATTGTATGGACCTTTATTGGAAGTAGAATAGATTTTGGTTATCCATAATAATTGCATATTTCCATAGTATGGATATAGTATGGAAATATGATGAATATACTATGGATTTAGTGGTGCAATTGCAAATTTCGTAGTATGGATTTCACTTTTTTTTTCCAGTGAATACCACCAGAGCTACAAACATCCGTGGTGGCAACCATTATATAAACAGAAAACAACCAGAGCAAACAACACTGCCCTCGATATTTGGTGGGGCACGTCGTTCGCAAAGTTTGCCGGCTATTATTATTATTAGTTTTATTATATGGTTGCCACCACCATTATTTATAGAAATAGCTCAGCCTGCTCAGGGTGCTATTCTGAGGATAATTCTCTGCGGCCTTTATGTAAAATAAGATATTGATAAATGTTCAAAGCTTAATGCCTCGGTACTTATATGAAACACTATGTAGGTCATACAAACCTGGTTTATAACGTTTGATTAACTTAATAATTAAACTTGTGCTAGTCGCCTCGCTAGTCGCGCTCTATGCCGGCGGCGAGAATTGGTTGGATCCTTTGGGTGCATTCCCTTTTAATGTCCCTTTGATCTTTTTTCTTATAGGTTAAAATCTTACTGATCTCATTCATAGTGGTGGGGTGGATATTAAATGCAATGGCCCTCTCTGCCAAACGTACCAAACTGCTCCTTGCACGGCTCTAGTTATTGCTTCTTCCCAGCAACGTTCGCCACTCGCCATAAATTCAGCCTTTTTAAATTAAAAAAATCGAATGCAAGCATGATTCTTAGCTGTTGAATTGAAAGCGCAAAGTGGAGCCAGATCGATCGTAATCGAAGAGATTTGTTTGTAGCCTTCGGCTCATGAACCGGAGGTTTTAAGTTACCGGAAGTTTGAGTTATTGTAAGGTTAATTGATTTCTGGACAGTTTCAATTTTTGGACAGATAGCGCACTACGCTTTGCATTATATCAAATAATGACTTTTCGGCGCTGTTTCATTATATGATATAATGAAAAAGTTCTTTTACATGATATCATATCATGAATCAACTGAAAAGTCATTATTTGATATCATAGTGTAACGCATTAGCATTATATCAAATCAGGACTTACACAAATGCTTATGATATCATATAATGATTTTGTCGAAAAGTCATGATATGATATATAATGATTTTGTCGAAATGTCTTGATATCATATCATGACTTTTCGGAAGTTCATGATATGATATAATGCTTAATGTTAATAACATTATATCAAATAATGACAAAAACGAATAAGTCATGATTTGATATAATGTCTGTTCGTTTATCAATTATTTATATATAATGACAATTTTAGTCATGATATGATATAATTAACGTTAAATAATTTTTGGACACATGGCGTTCCATACGCGAGTATTAACCTTAAAAATGTTTTAAAATGCATCGAAATATTCAAGTTATACGAAAATTAGTTGGTCAATTGAAAGGATTATATATCGCAATGTCTCTCGCGGTCTAAAAACGACGTGCAAATTTAATTGAATCGCTCGCTCGAACCAGCCAAAATTATGTTTACAATGTATCAATTGTTCAGCCGAGGAACTACAATTTGAGGAAATTATCTGGCATAATTTCGAACGCAAAACGAAGAATGGAACGATACGAAAGGTATAATTTGTTTAATAAAGGAATTATATTAAATTGTATTGTTTTCTGGAATATTATTTTGCATGTTTATTTATATGAAGGGCCGAAGGGGTTGACATTTCGATTATATTTTACTAATTTTAGTCAAATCATCAGACATTTGGCAACATGTTAAGTGAATTGATATATAAAAGGAAAAGATCTTTCTGTTGAAGCAACCATTTCAATAAGTGAGGAGAGATAACAACTTGGAAATATGAACTACAGAAATTTGATTACTACAAAAATCAAGATTTTGTTGGCATCTTAAGCCTGGTTTACATATGCCTGCATTATTGTTTACAGCTGCTGATGCATACATTCTTTTGTGAATTATTTAGTTGAACTTTTAACGACAATAGCCCATCAACAAACAGCAGGTATATGTGAACCAGGCTTCACTTGGTTAAATAGTTAATTGGAACTCACCCCCTTAATTAATATCATGTGAATATGCTAAACCATTAATAAGTTGCATTGTGACACATGTAACAACCTCTTTCTAATATAGTATATGCCTAGTTGTGTTACACGTACTGGCCACATGACATCCATGATTTGATAAATAAAGAAATTTATGATGTATCTGCATATTCTCTAATTATATGTTTCTCCCTTGTTCATGTTTAAATAAAATTGCTCTTGACATTATTTGTTTTAAATATAATAAATCTAGATTGACATGTATCATGTAAGAGCCTACAATGCCAGGGGCCCACAACAAGTTCTTGTTGTCTCATTGCTTGTCGGCACGCCCCTGTTTTTTCTCTGTCTAACATCAGACAATTTTACTATTCCAGGGGAGAGTGCAAACAATGGGCTAATCTAAAGCTTCACAGCTTATAATTAATATGTACCCACCATTGAAAGACTTTTGGGTGGTTAATGTAACAATTAATAGCAAAACATGCAGGGGTGGATTTACTGGGGGGGTGCACACCCCCTCCCTAGCCCTGGCCAGGGGGTATGTGTGTGCTATTTTTCATGATAAAGCAAAAAGTATTAGAGACAAAATGAGATATTGTACACAGTACACTTGCACCACATGGAGGTTGTTTTGCCAAATTCTCAGAATACTGCTGTTGCTGTATGTTAATGGGCGAGCTGCACACATGACAACACAACTCGAGTTACTCGACACCAGAGCACCCCCCTACCAGATCACGCTGGATCCATCCCTGAAAACACATCTATCACTGGGAAGTTTCGTCAGTGACTGTTTGTATGGTTATAGGGAAATTTGCCTTCAAAATGGATTTTACCCATGTAAATATTTTGTCTGTGAACTTTGGTAAGCAAAATGGAATGTTTGTAATGCCTCCATTGGTTAATTATAAACAAATCCAAGGCAAATGTTATTAAGACAGGTCTTCATACATGTTGCACCACATGGAAAACTATTAGATTCTTATTAAATTCCAGTTGTCTTTCCCCTTATGTCTACTCACACCCATATATAAAACAGGGCCACTGATTTAAGAAAGCTTTTGCTAATTTTCGCCACATCTAAGACACTCAAGTTTGAAAATTTTGTCTTTGTCCAAGGGATAAATTGCACAGTGTATTCCACAATAAGAAAGCTATTTGTTTAAGACTTTTATTAATGATTTCCTTCCATACAAGCGTATTAAAACAAGGCAAGAGGTGTTTATATATTTACGCAGGCACAGTCACAGATGTCAACAGTTGAATTTACATTTATATATTGACAATTTTCGATCGTTCCTTTTCGTGTTACAATTTCGACTAAATCACTGCACTTTCAGCTTATTATGATATAAAATGTCGTCAACAATTTGAATAGAAATTTGTATATATCAACGATAAACTTTCAATTGAAACCTTCTCTTGACAAATGTCTTGACATGAATCGACGACATAATTGTGAATTCACTGCTCTGCAAAGTCACTCGTTAATATCTCTAAACAATCCCAGTAAATCGCTGCGTTAGCTCTCGATAACGTTCTCAGCTCCTTAGTCAAAGTTCCCTTTGTATTTGCAATGTTGAAGAGCAAGATTATTCGTTAATTTTACAGTTTTACTCGTCTTCTAAGCCATCGTGTTGAAAACAAAATTTTCTTCACTCCTTGCCGTAAGCCCTTCCTACTCCCCCTAAGTTTGAGATTGTCGAAATTTGCATGCGCGAGCCGGTATGCGCAGTGCAAATTTTTGTATCGATTTATGGCAGGCATCTCACCAAACTTTTTCCCACCACCCGATTCGTCGGGTGAGATGCCTGCGGAGGAGGCTAGTAAAACTCGGCACTCATTAATATTCACCGGACAGAATCCTGTCCGGTGACGTCATAACAATAAAATTAGCAGGGGGTGGGAAGCACGGGTGTATTGCAAAAATGCAAAATACAAATTCGCCATGGCGCATTTGCATTTTTGCAATACACCCGCGCTTTCCCTCCCCCTGCTAATTTTATTGTTATTTCCGGTCAATATTAATGAGTGCCGAGTCTCTCTCGTTCTCCGTTTCAAGTTCAAAACTGATCTCATAATAAACTGGATATACCCTATCAAATTTTGACCCACAGAGAGAGACTTGGGGCAAGTCTACTTGGTATTAAAGACCGTTTTCTGCGAACTAATTTTCTTTAATCTTTAATCTGATACTCCTAATTCAGTTTACATTATACTAGGAGATACTTATATATGTATATACATTAACAAAATAACTATGAACTATATATATGAAAAAAAAACCTTTAAAATGTAAAAATGTACAATAAAAGTGTCCTGCCAAAATAACACTAATGCTTTTAATGCAGTTAATGCAGCACTTTAAAGGCGTTGATATTCGCAGGCAATTCCATATATTTATTTAACTATTCTGATTGATAGGATCTAAGGTAGTACGAATATGAGGTGATGACATGCCCCTGTCGCCCTTGTTATGTGTAAACAAATATATTGCGAAATTCGTTTGGAAAACTTTTACGGACGCCATATTTCTCTGTTGCTTTAAACACACAACTCTATGGAGGATTTGAAGCGTATCGTAGTACAGACTTTATCCAGATCGATCATATATATACCCTCAGTCAAAAAAACAAAATACATTATTAATTGACTCTTTCTTGATATAAAAGACGTTCTTCTGGGAACTAATTTCCATATTTTCAAAAAAGAAATTCTTGTTTACGTAAGGTACCCAATTGCAAGCCTATGTTAATATGAGGTGTGACCACCCATCGCGGTACATTAAATATTCTGTCAAAACAAATACCAGTCTGCAAAAGACGCTTGTACTTTTACGGAAGCGATATTTGTCTGTTGCTCTAATGACATAATTTTGTGAATAATTTAAAGCAAATTGTAATACAGACTTTGTCCTTATCGATCATAATAATAATTACTCAGTCTATATACTTTATTAAGATTGCAGACTTCTCAACTCTCACGCATTCGGCGTGAGTCTACTCTCACGCTCTCACGCCATGTTTAGTAAATCTCGCGCATATAGCAGTTTCATAGTATTTTTTCAATAATATAATATTGTATTCTTAAATGCAGTGCGCATATTATTAATCATTATACGGATCGCGAATCGAATATATAATCGCGTGTTATTGTTCCTGCACATACGGCCCGACATTTTGCCCGCAATTTGGATACAAAATAATACGCATATGTAAATACGGCGGACAAAAGGCAGAATCAGTCAGAGCAGAATTCTATATGTAAATTATCAAAGGCAAATTAAAGCTCATTACTGTATGTCACAGAAATACAGTTATTGTAACTAAAGTGCCTTGTCTTAAAGGACGTTATGAAGCAATGTATTTCATTAAGAAACACCAACTCTCATAATGTACGAAATGCCATTTCAGACCCCCGGACTTTTACAAAGGTGTCATCCACATCCCCAATCTCACTCTTAACTTCTCTGCAAAGTTGAGAGGTCTGAGATTGATTTTTCTTGGTATAAAAGATCATTTTCAGGGAACTAATCTCCATATTTTGAAACACGAAATTCTTGTTTACATAATGTAGCCAATTGCAAGCCAGTATTAATATCAGGTGATGACCTTTGGTAGCAAATTCCTGTCTAGTAAAGACGCTTTAAACACTTTATGCGGAAGCGATATTTATCTGCTGCTCTAAACAGATCATTTTGTCAAAGATTTCAAGCAAATACTAAAACAGACTTTCTGCAAGAACGAACACTATATCTATATTCAGTCTATATAGCGAAGTTTATACTACAGAGCGACTAAGATCAACACAGAACTTGCTTTGTGACGCTTACGCAACAAGAACGGCGTGAAATATATGGCGTCGTATATACAAGGCTATGATGAGGAAAGGTTTGCGAGCACAGTCAATCGAAATTTCCTCTGTTTGATTTGCTTCAATGTCCTTAAAGACCACCCGGTTCTGTGTCCGAGAAACCAACATTGTTTCTGCCGAGGTTGTATTACGAAACACCTCGAGAATTCACGAAGATGCCCTACGTGTGCGGACGAACTGACCGTAGAGACTCTAGCCGAACCCAACAGAATGGTGAAAGATTATTTAAATGAATTGAATATTCACTGCGTTTACAACAACAGAGGTTGTCAAGAAATTGTAAGCTGGAACATCTTGACAACCATGAGGCTACATGTGGGTTTACACCAGCCGTTTGTACAAACCAAGGCTGTGGTGCAACTTTAAACCAGCGTGATCTTATTCACCATCAAAGTGAACTATGTGAATTTCGAAAGTTGAAGTGCCACTCGTGCGGAGAAATGACAAAAACGTTGGCAGATATGGAGAAAAGAATGGTGGCGACAAATTTAACAATGGAAACGAAAGTAGCGAATCTCGAAAAGAATATGGATAGAAAATTCGAAGCAGTGAATAATGAAGTGAGAGGATTGAAAACAGCTTTGATTGAAGGTTTTGATGAAATGAAGGATGTTCTTGTCAAGATGGAGGACAAGAAAAAAAAAACACAAGAAAAGTAAGAAATACAGCAAGTGGTGATAAGGAAAATATAATTGTTGCTGGAGGTTATGGAGTTGACTCTGTAGAGATGTTTAACTGGCGTCAAAGAACATGGTCGCCATTACAATCCATGCCAAAGAAGTGTAAGGGAGCGACTTCATTTGTGTACTGTTCTGGCTATTTTGATGGTATGATTAGAATGAATATCAACCGAAACCCTGATCTCTCAATGCACTGGAGTGAGTGTCCTGTTAAACTACCAGCTAAGTTGGCATACCACAGCAGTGTGCTGTATAATGATCACTTGATAGTCACTGGTGGTTATAATGGAAATGCAGTATCGGACTGTATTCATGAAGTGCAGCTAGTGCCTCCGTATACTGTGAAGACCTTATCAAGAATGCCAGAACCAAGACAGTATCACAGCACGCAATTATTTGATGATAACTTGTTGATTGTTGGTGGAAAAACAACTGCCAGATACCAAGACACCCTCAGCAGTGTCGTACTGTATGATATAAAGAAGAATGAATGTAAACAGATGACACCACTGCCGTATGAAGTGAGTGAGATGGCAACTGTGAGATGGGGAGACAACATTGTTGTTATAGGTGGCGCTGACAAACGTGGCAATATATTGAATTCAGTTGTCATGTACAATGTCAAGACTGAACAAAGTCACTTGTTGCCGCCAATGAGATGTAAGAGACTGGCATGTACTGCAGTTGTTATTGGAAACAACATTGTAGTACTGGGAGGGTGGGGAAAGAAGTCAGTTGAAGCTTTCAACTTTGAAAGTTATTCTTGGCAAGAACTTCCAGAAATGTCTCAAGAAAGATGGTTTTCCACTGCTGTTGTTGTGTGAACAATGTAAGAATGTTGAATGGATCTCTTTAAGATAATAAGTTGACTTTAATCATATTGTGAACAACTAAAGTAGAAATTTAGTAATATGTTATGATAGTTTGGTGTATGCATGTAATCAAAATTATATTCAGTTTTTAACCATGCATATGGTAATATTGAATTAATTTTTTTGAGTGAAAAGTATACCCTAGTCAAACAAGGATGAGAGTTGATAAAAGTTGCAACTCTCGCTCGCGTTTACTGAGCGCCAACTCTCATCGCATTAAGGCCTGATTCCACGGGCGCTTTTTCTCGGCGAAATGCGAAATATTTCGCCTGTTTCTTTTGAATTGTGAGCATTCAAGTAGAAATAATTTATTCGAGTGGTCGCAATTCAAACGAAATAATTCGCATTTCGCCGAGAAAAAGTGCTCGTGGAATCAGGCCTTTACAGACGATATATGTATACTGTATTCACGCATTTAAGATCTATAGAGCGCCTTCGATTAAGACCGCATGCATGTGAGATGAGAAATTGACTTTGCGATGTCATTAAGCGCCGCATAACTATATCTATTGAATATACTTGATTAAGCGATCGATATTTGATTATGAAATCATTTCCCCACTTCTATAGTTTCCGTATTTTCAAATGAGAGATTATTCAAATATTTTTATGGAAGCGATCTTTGTCTTTTGCTCCAAACGAAAGATTTAAAGCGAATTGTGACGCAGATCAGATTTATCCAGATCGATCATATAATGTTGTGCTCAGTCTATATACATTATTAGGATTGACTTTCTCTTGGTATTAGACTTGCCCCAAGTCTTTCTCCGTGGGTTTTGATAGGGTATATCCAGTTTATTATGAGATCAGTTTTGAACTTGAAACGGAGAACGAGAGAGACTTGTAAAACTCGGCACTCATTAATATTCACCGGACAGAATCCTGTCCGGTGACGTCATAACAATAAAATTAGCAGGGGGTGGGAAGCACGGGTGTATTGCAAAAATGCAAAATACAAATTCGCCATGGCGCATTTGCATTTTTGCAATACACCCGCGCTTTCCCTCCCCCTGCTAATTTTATTGTTATTTCCGGTGAATATTAATGAGTGCCGAGTTTTACAAGTCTCTCTCGTTCTCCGTTTCAAGTTCAAAACAGATCTCATAATAAACTGGATATACCCTATCAAATTTTGACCCACAGAGAGAGACTTGGGGCAAGTCTACTTGGTATTAAAGACCGTTTTCTGCGAACTAATTTTCTTTAATCTTTAATCTGATACTCCTAATTCAGTTTACATTATACTAGAAGATACTTATATATGTATATACATTAACAAAATAACTATGAACTATATATATGAAAAAAAAACCTTTAAAATGTAAAAATGTACAATAAAAGTGTCCTGCCAATATTACACTAATGCTTTTAATGCAGTTAATGCAGCACTTTAAAGTAGGCCGTGGGATGAGCATCCAAAAGATGCAATTCCGTTGCACCCCTCGTGGAACTACGTAATTTTCACATGAATAAATAGATAAAAACTTACTTTATCAGAATCCGTTGCTCCCCAAGTGAAACAGGTGCACAATTGGGAGAAAAATCCCTCCAAAGTTTGATATTTTCGCGCTTCGAAATATTCGAACCGCCATTATTTTGGTAGCAAATACGCATGCGCAACTCAGCCAAACTCACACTGCGCACGCGCAGACTATAAAAATAGATTCTCACTGGGGGGTTTCCCCGATTTCCTCCGCAAAAAACAAAATAAAATCACGGAATACTGATCAAACCTTGTAATATAAATACACCCACATTAAATATTGTTAAAAACACATTGTATATTTTGCTTGCTCATATGCTAGATCACTTCAATCATTGGCTATTGTTTCCAGGGGCGGCGGGACAGGGGGGGCTAGGGGGGCTAAAGCCCCCCCAGAAGTAAAAGTGGGGGGCTTAGCCCCCCCCCCAGAAAATTTGAATTTTTGGAAAAAATTTTGATAATTACGGAAAAATTTAGGTTATTTTTTGAAAATTTAGGTATGAGGGGACAAATTTGCAATATTTTGTTTAAAAAAAGTAGTTATAAGCCCGAAAAAAATTTTTTCGTCCCTTTTTTTGTATATTGTACCCCTAAAATGGTACACTGACCGAAATTTTTTTTGGCGGGGGGGGGAGGGGAGGTCGCCGAAAAAATTTAGCCCCGCCAGAATGAAATCTGTTCCGCCGCCGCTGATTGTTTCAAAATACCGTTTTAACGTTTAATTCTACTTTATATTAACATCCTAATTCAATACAAATTTGTGTGAGGTAAAAAAACCCACCTGTATCAAACAGGACGGAGAATAAAAAATATATATGCATACAATTCACACGATCAAGGAACAAATGAAATATTTCGCTAAACTTAAAGCCTTGGCCAAACGTAAGAAACAATGTCGCGGAAATATTCGTGATTTTTAATTGGCTTTTATTGCCGACGCAAAATTTGCTTCCCAGAAAGCAAATTATTTCCGATTTCAGAAGCATTTTATGAAACACTCTTTATCCGTTTGCCGACGCTGATAAGACAATATGACAAACCGAAAGATTGGAAAGACAAATAATATGACAACAGTGTTTCCCAGTTCGTCCCGGGCTTTAAGGGATATTTATATAAACTCGAAATTCATCATAAAAAAAGATAAATTGGGAGGAAATATAAAATCCATAATTTCATTATAGCTATCTATAATTGAAATAAATGTTTTCATCTTTGAACCCAGATTTTCATCAGAGCAATAAAATCCCACTTATTGGATGGCTCAAAAAGAGATTGCATGTATTCTGCAATAAGCTATCCTGGCTTTTGTCTGGTAAAGTTCTACTTCTCGTATTTGAACTATTTCATGTATTATATTTATATTGTGACATAAGTTGGTATTTAGCCATGCACTATCTAGAATAACAACGAACGATTCAGCCTGGTTTTTCGTGTTAATTATTTTATTTACATACTGTTAACCCTGTCCATGAGAGGGATATATGTGTTGATAATATAAATACTGTGGATCCGAATGAGAATATCGAATAAGTAAATAAATACTGATCTACTCCACTGATAATACCTACATGCATTACCATCATTGTTCACCTCAAATCATTAATAATTCATGAGCAAATTAGCCAACCATATTGCTTTATTTTGCTCACATGATAATACTAGATACTTTATGAAGTATATTGATCCTGTAGTGTTATGAAGTATATTGATCCTGTAGTGTCCTAGGACTGGATTAAAATTAATTCAGTCCTTGAACTGGATCAAAATTAATTAAGTAGTGATTTATTCGTATGGATGTCATTTCAAATCCTCCAATTCGGACTGGACTAGATTTCAAGTCCTCACATTTTGATCCAGTCCTCTGATTCGCCTCGGACGTGATCAAATTGCGTGGACTTGAAATCTAGTCCAGTCCTCATAGTCGGATTTGAAATATTATCCCTTGTCAAATCAGATGCCAATGGTGGCCAAGGAAGATTCAGTTTTGGTATTTCTTGCACCTTTTGGTGAAGAATCAATGCAGCATTGTATAGAATTTGTAACTCATTGACTTTAGAATTTCCCTCAGTTTCTGTGTTGGAATTCACATTATCATCATCAATGGTACAGCTCTCTTCATCAAAGTCCTCGTCATTGTTTTCAGACTGAGGGCCTGTTTATATGGAAGCCGGGCTGGCCTGATAAGCAAGACAGCCCGGTAAGCAAGATCTCGCTGTGTAGTTATTCTTATAGTAAAAATTATCATGCGTTTATATGGACAAGCGGGCTGGCCCAGTTGCTGAGATCTTGTTTGAAAGAGGCTACTCAGGCTAGATCTCACTTACCGGGATGGAAATTTCTCCATATAAACATTTACAAGCGGGCTATCCCGGTTGCTGGGATGAAAGTTCAAAAATACCGCCGCAAGCTATTTTTAACAACTGTCAAAACAATACAATGTAACAAAATTGTCCTGGCAAGCTGGATGAAAGTTTCTCATATAAACACAAGAGAAATTCATCCCGCTTACCGGGCTGCCTCGCTAAGTGGGCCAGCCCGGCTTCCACATAAACAGGCCCTTAATTGACATATGTTCCTCAACCAATTCAGAAGAAT